TAGTAGCCCGGTGCCACAAAAATTGTTGCACTCGGGGGTGAGGGTGAGGGTGACAACTCAGCCCCGACCTGCACCTCTGTTCATGTTCCTGGACCCCGGCCACTCCTGGCCTAAGCACAGGCCTACAGGCTTGGGGTGGCCTGGCTCCCAAGGCCCCCATTTTATCAAGAGAACAAAGTCGGCATTAGTTACAGCCCTCACCGAACCCCAGTACAGTGCATCTGTGCATATAACTGCCTTGTTCATGTGCCCTGCTTTCGCCCTACTGAATTACTAACATCTTGAGGACATAGCTCTGTCTTATCCTGCTTCACCTTCAGTGCCTGGCCTGGTGCCAGGGACCTGAGAGGGTTAGCACCCGTCACCCTGGGATCCCCACAGGAAGGCCGTTTGTGGGCATGGCCAGTGGCAATCGGTGCACTACCACCCACCAACCCGGGATCCCCACGGGAAGGCTGTTTGTGGGCACAGCTGGTGGCTGATTGGTGCATTAGCACCCGTCACCCCGGGATCCCCACAGGAAGGCCCTTTGTGGGCATGGCCAGTGGCTGATTGGTGCATTAGCACCTGCCAGCCAGGGATCCCCGCAGGAGGGCCATTTGTGGGCATGTCTGGTGGTCCCGCCGGCCAGCCCTGGATCGGGTCCCATACAGGCTGCCTGCTACCCGGGTCGCAGATAGCAGGCCCGGATGGCAGCAGGGCAGGCGGGATGGCGCTGTCCCGCCCTGCCTGTAGTATGCAAATTAGCCGCCATCTTTGTTGGCGGTTAACCGCCATCTTGGTTGGCAGTTAATTTGCATATCACCCTGATTAGCCAATGGGAAGCATATTGGAGGTACGGTTAATTACCATGTTTGTCTATTATTAGATAGGATTTATAAATTAGGCACAGGAAGAGATTAACAATAATAGCTAACAATAAATAATGATAACTATTTTAATTACTTGCAGAAATGTCTCAGATATTTCACCCTTTTTAAAAAAATTTTTTTAAATTGATTTCAGAGAGGAAGGGAGAGGAAGAGACAGAAACTTCCACGATCAGAGAGAATCATTGATCAGCTGCCTCCTGCATGCCCCCTACTGAAGATCGAGCCTACAACATGGGAATCTGCCCTTGACCGGAATCGAACCTGGGGCCGTTCAGTCCATAGGCTGATGCTCTATGCACTGAGCCAAACCAGCTAGAGCTCAAACATTTCACTCTTAAGAAAAATGCTGGCTTGCCCTGGCTGCTTTGGCTCAGTAAATAGTGCATTGGCCTGCGGACTGAAGGGTCCCAGGTTCGATTCCGGTCAAGGACACATGTCCAGGTTGCGGACTCGATCCCCAGTGTGGGGTGTGCAAGAGGCAGCTGATTGATGATTCTCTCTTATCATTGATGTTTCTAACTCTCTCTCCCTCTTCCTTCCTCTCTGAAATTAATTTTAAAAAATGAAAAATTAAAAAAAAAGAAAAATGCTGGCTTTGGGGCTAAAATAGTTAACTATATAAATAGAGAAAATGTTTTCATGTTAAGGAAATATCCATTGGTTCCTATGTGGGGATGTGTTTAAAACAAGACAGTTGAATATTGTCAAATACCTATCAGCACCTGAAAATGGCCATATAACTTTCTCCTTGGCTCTACTAATAAGATACGTTATGTTACTGATTTCCTTATTTTAAAGCATCATTGCCTTCCTGGGATAAGCCCCTTTAGTCATTATATTGTTCTTTTAATGTAGTTAGATTGTATTAGCTAATTATTCATAACTTTACTAATTTTTAATCATGCAATTCCTCAATTTTTTTTCTATCAACATTGTGTTTACTTTAAAACTTTGAATTTTTTTCCTATGCCAAATAGATTTGGAAATGTCTCCTCTTCAAAGGTTCCCCACATTTCCTTGTGGAATCATCTAGTACTGGTGGTTTTGAAAAAGGCAGATCTTTTGATGTCTTTTGATATTTCTTACATAGAAGTATTTTTTGTTTGTTTTTTATTGATTTTTTTTTACAGAGAGGAAGGGAGAGGGATAGAGAGTTAGAAACATCGATCAGCTGCCTCCTGCACACCCCCTATTGGGGATGTGCCCACAACCAAGGTACATGCCCTTGACCAGAATCCAATCTGGGACCCTTCAGTCCACAGGCCTACGCTCTATCCACTGAGCCAAACCAGTTAGGACAGAAGATTTTTAACTTCTGAAATCAGGTTTAGTTCATTTTTTCTAGAAAAGTATCTATATTATTTGAGCTTTTTGTTGATTTCCCAGTTATATTATTTTATAATTTATCTAACTCAGTAATTTCTGCATGTTTTTATTAATTTCTTCCTGCTACTTTAGGTAAGTTTTTTTTTCCTGATTTTATGAGACAAAAGCTTAATCCAGTTAATTTAATTGATAAGATTGAAAATTTTCCTCAATCCCATTTTAACTGATCACATCTATTGTTATGTGTATTTCATTTGTTTTGAAATCTAAAAACATTTCCATAATGCTTATTATGTTTTAGACATCCATTTTATCGCTTTGCAAAACATTAGCTCATAGAACTGTCATACTAATCATATGAGGTTGATGCGATTACTATACCCATTTTACAGTTGAGGAAACTGAGTCACCTAGAATTTAAGTGATTTGCTAAGGTCACACAAACTGGTATAAGTTAAACTGGAATTCAAAACCAGGCGGTATGGCTCCAGAGTTCATAGACTTAACAAATATTCTAGTTCCCTGTTTCCTGCAACCTACATCTGTTCCTGTAACCTACAAGTCAGTCCATTGAAAATGTTTAACTTTCCAAAAACAAAGACTTCCGTAGTTTCTGATTTTTAACAATAATGTCTACTTTTATTGCATGGGAATTAAGAAGCCTGATTTTTTCTCTGCTTTGGAATTTATGAATGTTTTCTCTTCAGCCTAATACTAGCTATACTATTAATTTTGTGACTGATCATTGTTATGCCCAGATTTCAGGATCCCCATGAGACCACACCAGGGAGCCAGCCGTGTCCGATGCAAAAGCATAAGAGTCTTTATTCAAACCTGGGCTTGGCTCCCCTACCCTCCTTACCGACACAGCGGCAAGTGGCAGAGAGAGGGCCAGCCCTGTGGGGAGAGGGGTTTTATAGTAAGGGGAGGAGAGGGGACTGTGGGCCCTGCCGATTGGCCAGGCCCAAGTCGGTATCTTGTTACACAGGATTGGTCGTATCTATGGCGCGCACTTCCCTTGATTATACTTCCGGGAAGAAGCTTCTTGCTGAGCACATGGGTGCTGCCCAAAAATGGAGGATTCAGGGCATGATGGAGGGCGTAGCCCTCTCCCTTTCATTCCCCCCTTTGTCTTGGAACTTCCGGCTCAATCATGAGACGGGCTGCATTTCTATTTCACCATTGCTAGAGGCCTGTACTGAGCACACAGAACTATCAACTGAACTATCCCTATACGCTTAACAAATGGTCCCGTGGAAGGGAAAGAAACCATTTTAGCTTTAATAACTTCTATTGAAATAGGATTTTTCTTCTTAAAATTCCTCTATGGCTATCAAAAAGCCAAATCAAGATTAATTTATCGCCGAAACCGGTTTGGCTCAGTGGATAGAGCGTCGGCCTGCGGACTGAGGGGTCCCGGGTTCGATTCCGGTCAAGGGCATGTACCTGGGTTGCGGGCACATCCCCAGTGGGAGATGTGCAGGAGGCAGCTGATCGATGTTTCTCTCTCATCGATGTTTCTAACTCTCTATCTCTCTCCCTTCCTCTCTGTAAAAAATCAATAAAAAATATTAAAAAAAAAAAGATTAATTTATCTACTGTAACTGACTACCTTTGCTGGAATCTCATGGTTGAATCTTAATGTGCCCCGTAGGGCCAGGAAGCCAAGCCATCAGCTGCCATCAGGCCCGCCTGCAGTATCTGCTGAGTTAGGTGAATCCCTCACCTGTAGCAACTCCACCTGAGCCCACGCTCCAGGCTTTAAGGCCTATCTCAGTAGCAACTTTTTCCTGGTAAGGTCTCATTTATTTATGCAAAGTACAAATATTATGTGTATTTCATTTTTTTAAATTTCTCCTTTAGGGCCTTGTATATCTTTTTTTTTTTAAATAGGTTTCAAAGAGGAAGGGAGAGAAAGAGAGAGAGAGAGCAACTTCAATGATAAGCCAGAATCATTCATTGGCTGCCTCCTGCACACCCCACACTGGGGATCAAGCCCCCAATTCGGCATGTGCCATGACTGGAATCGAACCCAGGACCCTTCCACTGAGCCAAACTCGCTAGGGCTAGTTTTTGTTTTGAAAATGGGACCTGGACAAAGTCAGTTAACTAACCAGGCCCCTCCTCCCGAGATCCCATTGGATGAGCAATGAGGAGATTACTATGGCCCTGATATAAAGCCAGGCCCAAGAGGATGTGGGCTGCATTTGAAAGCCAGCTCTCAAGTGGATACTGTCTCTCTGGATCCTGCAGGACCTTCACGTGGAATTGGGATTTTGATTTCTGCTATTTGTGCTTGTGAGCAAAAGAGCTATTTTCCTATTAAAAGTTTAAAGAACTGACTATAGTTTTCTATTATTTATGATTGAGATGTATTATTGGGTTAGGGTTACTGAATCTGAGTGACTGCCTCACAGATACACCAAAGCTTAAAAAACAAAAACAAAAAAAAAACAACAAAAAAAAAACAAGAGGGAAGACATTACTCCCTCATTCTCAGGGATCTAAAACATCCCTAAGAACCTGGGAATCCTCTGCTTACACTGCAGCCATGGTGTCTAATGAGCCAAGTGGGAGAATCATGACCTTCCACCCAACCATGGAAGAATTTAAAGATTTCAACAAATATATTGGTTACATGGAATCTCAAGGTGCCCACCGAGCTGGCCTGGCGAAGGTCATTCCACCCAAGGAAGGAAAGCCAGACAGACCTACGATGATGTCAGTGACATGGTGATAGCCACTCCCCTCCAGCAGGTGGCGTCTGGGCGAGCAGGTGTGTTCATTCAATACCACAAAAAGAAGAGGGCCATGACAGTGGGCGAGTATCGCCTGTGGGCAAACAGTGGACAGTATCAGACTCCACCACACTTGGACTTTGAGGATCTGGAGCGGAAATACTGGAAAACGCGCCTGTACGACTCGCCCATATATGGCGCTGACATCAGTGGCTCCTTATTTGATGCCAACACTAAACAGTGGAACCTTGGCCACCTGGGAACCATCCAGGACCTGCTGGAGCAGGAGTGTGGGGTTGTCATCGAAGGCGTCAACACGCCCTACCTGTACTTTGGCATGTGGAAGACCACCTTCGCTTGGCACACGGAGGACATGGACCTTTACAGCATCAACTACCTGCACTTCGGGGAGCCCAAAACGTGGTACGCGGTGCCCCCAGAACACGGCCAGCGCCTGGAGCGCCTGGCCAGGGAGCTTTTCCCGGGCAGCTCTCGGGGCTGCCAGGCCTTCCTGCGGCACAAGGTGGCCCTCATCTCGCCCCCTGTCCTCAAGGAGAACGGGGTCCCGTTCAGTCGCATCACTCAGGAGGCTGGAGAGTTCATGGTGACCTTTCCCTATGGCTACCACGCTGGCTTCAACCATGGCTTCAACTGTGCGGAGGCCATCAACTTTGCCACCCCGCGATGGATCGACTATGGCAAAGTGGCCTCTCAGTGCAGCTGCGGGGAGGCCCGGGTGAGCTTTTCCATGGATGTGTTCGTGCGCCTCCTGCAGCCCGAGCGCTATGAGCTGTGGAAACGCGGGCAGGACCAGACCGTTGGGGACCATGTGGAGCCCAGAGCGCCGGGCAGCCAGGAGCTGAGCGCCTGGAGGGAATCCGGGCGGCCTGGAGATCTGCGCTGGGCCTGAGGCACCTCCAGCCCCGTCGAGCCACGCACACCCCTCGATCAGTGGGCACGGGCTGTGGGTACGGTCGCCGCCACACCCTGGTGCGCCAGCCATGCCTGCGCCCCTCGCTAGGCCGGGGTTCTGCCTCTGCTGCCCAGCCCGCGGCTGCAGCGGCCCTCTGCTCCTCAGAGCCCGACACATCCTCACAGCCAACCTCGGGCCCATCTGCCCAGGATCTCCAGCCAACTGGCACACGTGGTAGTGAGAGTGTTCGTCGTCCTCAGGAACAGGGGACTCAAGAGTGGATTGTTCAGGCCCCGGCTAAGAGGCGCCGCCTAGTGGGCGCAGTGCGCACAGCTCCGGATCCCAAAGCCCAGCCTGTGCCTGAGGACAAACCCTCCATGGACAGCCCAGCACCACTGAGCCCTGGTGGCCAGCATCCTGTGTGGGCTTCTGGGTGCTGTTGTGCCCCTGACCTTCAACCCTTGGTGCCCCCATTGGATCCCGATGCACCGATGCACCCTGGCCCGTGCCTGCTATCTCTGGACAATATTCCAGCCAATTTCCCTGACAATGTCCCACTAACTCCTCGCTGTGTCACTGGGACTCTGAGGTCCTTCCCCACAGACCTGGCTGGAAACCACAGGGCCCCTGCGAGCCTCTCTGAGCTTGTGAGGATGGACCACTCTCATACCTCCGTGGTCCAGGTCCCCGCCACAGTTGCCCAAATGTCCTGGACCCCTGACTGTGAATCCCTGGAGCTAAAGCTAGAGGCAGCTGCCTCTCTGGTGTCCTGGGACACATTCCCTGCCAATGGGCGGTCTTCCATCTTTGAGCCTATCACTGATGAAGATTTAGCCAAATATGGCTGTATCTGACCCTCAACCCTGGGAACACAGCACCTCCCAGCCAAGCAGCAATCTGGGCTGGCCCTGTCCACAGTCAAGATGCTTTATCTCCTAGAAAAGACACATTTCTTAAGCTGCCAGATGTTTCTACTACTATGACAAGCAGGGCTCCCAGTTGCTAGCCAAATGGACCTCCTCGTTGGTAGAGCTGCCCTGGAATGCTGTGGTACCTCTCAGGCATTCTCAGCCCACTCCTAGATGCCATGGACACGGCTGGTTTTGAAATCACCTTCAGGATCCCTCCCATGCCATAGTGTGCCTTGATAAGGAGAACATTCTGAGATGCTCTAAACTAAATTACACCAGGAGATAGATAGATAGATAGATAGATAGATAGATAGATAGATAGAACTGTTAGTCTCTTAATGATGGCTTGGAGCCAACTACCAAAGGAGAGCTCACATTTCTGTGGAAGTCTTTGGAAGTGTGTATTAATTTCCAGATGACTCATTCTGCAGATTCCTAAGACCCTGGTTTCCACTGGACCCTGGTTCCCACTGGACGTGCTGCAGCCACAACTGAGCCCAGCAGCTTCTCTTACTCGGCAGCTCTGACACAGCTACACACAGCCCAGGCCTCTGCTCAGGCTGGAACTAGAACTTTATCCAATGAGTCTGTCAGCCAGTACTGCCTCGGGGATGTTTGTAATTTGTTAAATAATATGTTTGTATCAATTTTATACAGAGAGAACGGGATAGGGATAAGAGATAGACACATCTAACTCCAGGAGCCTCCGCTTGTTTACACGTGGGCTTTCTGGACCACTGCCCACAGCCAGTCTCCAGGAGCACGCCTTTCTTCATTCAAATTCTGCTCCTATCCCAGAGCTGGCCTCCTCCTTCTCTCACCCCTTTGCCTATAGGTCATGTAAATTTCTTTTAGATTAACTCTTTTTGTCTCCCGCCCCCCTCCCCATTTGATGTATAAAAAGCTTGCAATACTCTGGGACAATGGGCATGTTGTCTTTTCTACCATGCTGCTGGAGGTTTAGACTCCTTGCCTCAAGACGGGACTTGCTTTTGGTGAGCATTTTAGTTAATAAAACCTTACTTACAAAAAAGACTTTCAGGAGGTCAACGGAGAGCCGGGGAACAAGCCAGCACCCAGTGACATGGTGTGGAGACAGGGGCGGAAAGTCCTCCTGCCGGAGATGATTCCCAGGAAAAGTGACCCGCAGGGTGTGAGGCCCATGGAGAAGTTGGAGAAGGATGTGATGGTAGACGAGGAAGGGGCAGCAGTACTCACATCTCCAGAGCCTCCACTTCCCAGCGGTCCTGGAGATTCGGTGAGGACAGAGGGGGAGCAGAACCCGCAAGAAGGAATTGGCCATGAGCATGTGGATGCTGCTGACGTGCCTCCCCCACCCATGTTCCGGAAACACAGGATTTGACTCAGCGTCCGAAGAGAAGAGGTTCTGGGAATCCAAGAGGTGCCCCCAAGAGAAAAAGGGGCAACACTCCCACTCCCCAAGAGGAGCCTCAAGAAGGAGCCGTGTTGTTGGACAAAGGACAAGTCACCAGACAGCACAGGTGCAAGTCAGTCGGTACACCAAGCACCGTGGAGTCAACTGGTCACCCTGTTGGCAAAGAATCTAGGCGACAGATACCATACGAGTGTCAAGACTGCAGCAAAAGGTTCAGTTTAAAGATCTAACTGAGATTTGTAACTGAACCTCCCAAGAGATTCATTCAGGCCTCGGACCACTACGTCCACCATCGGATCCGCATGGGCGAGAAGCTGTACCGCTGTACCATCTGCATGAAGAGGTTCACCCACGAGTCCACGCTATTTGGCCACCAGCAGGTCCACACCCAGGAGAAGCCATACCAGTGCTACCTCTGCCACGAAAGGTTCAGCCACCGCAGGAACCTCAACATTCACATGAGCACCCACTCGGGTTAATGTGATTCTGGATGCAGAAACTGCCCACCTCAACCTCATCATCTCTGATGACCTGAAGAGTGCTAGACTTGGAAACAAGTGGATCCATATGCCTGACAGTCCAGAAAGATTTGATAGCTGCATTTTTGCCCTGGGCTCTCCGAGCTTCTGCTCTGGCCGTCATTACTGGGAAGTGGAGGTGGGGGACAAGACAGGGTGGGTCCTGGTTATCTGCAAGGCAGCCACAAGCAGAAAGGGAACATGACTCTGTCGCCAGAGAATGGCTACTGGGTGGTGATGATGAAGGGAAATGAGTACCAGGCATCCACCTTCCCCCCGACCCGCCTGCGGGTGAGGGAGCCCCCCAGGCGTGTGGGCATCTTCCTGGATTACAAGGCTGGCGACATTTCCTTTTCCAGTGTGACAGCCAAATCACACATCTACACATTCACCAGCTTCTCTTTCTCTGGGCCCCTTCAAGCTACCTTCAGCCCTGGGACACATGGTGGAGGGAAGAACACGGGTCCTCTCACCATCTGTCCAGTCAGTGACCAGGGGCCTCACTGAAAGTCCTACACTTTGCATCTCTTTCCCAACTCCCAGCTTTGTACTTTGAACTTATACTCTTGCCAGTTATTATTGAACATATATTGGGTTCTGGGTGCTTTGGGAAATATAATAAATCAGAGAATAGTCCTTGTGCCCTAGGAGCTTATGGAATAGTAGAAATAAGCTAGGTACGCAAATAATGGTAAACCAGGGGTGAAGAGAACACATATGCTGATGACATGCCATGTTTTTTCAGAGTAGAAAGTGCACGGCTTAATAAACCCTTGTATGGATTAACACCCTAAGCTGCTCCTGCGACAGAGATTCCACCCTCGTGTTCCCTCAGTACCCATGGCAAGGATATGTCCCCTTATTTTATTCTCCCCTGTCTTGAGGACTTGTCTAGGGGAAAAAATTAAGCAAAGTGGCTTACTATAATTTTTTTTTATATCTGGATTAATGAACTATGGTTCTTAAGAGTATTGGCTATGCCTGATGAATAAATTGATTAGAAAATCTAATCATAATTCCATTTGCTGTCACTTGATTGATTGCTGTGAGATACCTTTTCCCCACTGAACACCATGAAAGAGATGGAGCTACTGTGGTGGGAAAACATTTGACATATATTCTAAGTGTCAAATTTTCTGTCCTAATCTCTGTCTGAAAATCTGTGGGAATATTATGTGCTTTAGTTCACAGATGTCCCTCTATCATCACCCATTTAAAGACATGTAAAGAGAAGGGATATAAGGGGTCGGGGGATCCAATCAAGATTAAACTCCAAATTCTTCCTCCTGCACCTCCTCTTTCCACGTCTTCACACTAGAGCCAAATTGGACCCCAGTTCTGCATGGTTATGACCAGACCACGAAACACATACTTTGCTGTCTTCACTGAGCTTGGTTCTATGCGAATAATCTATATGCTCACACAGTTCACATGCCCTACTTGTTTAGCTGTTCCCTATGGTTGGTCATTTATTACTCCCAATTATCCCTTACTAATAACCTTTTCACTACCAGCTTTGTATATATTTTCCCCCACCTCCCCGTACACTTATTTTTTTCTCCTGTTATCCTAAAATGGTTCTAAAATATAAACTGTTTGATAACACCTGCTACAGTGGCCAGATAATCCTTCAAAAAGATTTAAAAAATGTTTCTGCCCAAAGCAATGTTTGACTTTTTTTTTTCTTTTCTGATTTAACAGAGATGTAATGGGGTTTTACCTGTGTTTTATATCATTAATATTTATTGAATATTTATTTATTTATTTATTTGAAGGAATCCTCAAAAGAAATGGAAACTTATTCCTACAAAAGGACTATAACTGGTTTCAAAGAAGAGTGCTTTGGGTGATTTCTGGTAATTCTTGGGAGAAAACAAAACAGGGAATATAATCTTAAAACCAATGGGTTAGAACAAGGCACTGAAGTAAGTAGAAAAGTATACCTTTCAAAAAATAATTATTTTAAAACCCCACAAGCTAAAAATAAATAAATAAAATGAAATCCACAAGCTAAGGGGAGACACTTTTGAGAATATTTGAAATACAAAGAACAGAATATAAATGCTATAATTACAGGAGCATATCATAGCCACCTGGGCACATTAAGGATACAGAAGTTATTTTGACAACCATCTCAGAGATTAAGTAGAGGAGGGAGAGATTTGAACTCTTCATATAGATGCCGAAAGTCTCACCATCTAAGAATAGCAACAAAAAGTTCTATGACTTTAAAGCTGAGTCTATTCAGTGAATGTCTAGTTCATGCATGCTATGCCCCAGGAGCTGGAAATGTAAAAATAAATCTTTGAAAAGCTTCTGATATGTAGGTTTAGAGTTGTTGGTGGGGAAAATGATAACTAATAAAGAAAAACACAGGAATAAAATCTGCTCCCACAAGTGTGCCTCAGTTGGGAGGGTGTCATCCAGTGCACTGAAATGTCCTGGTTCATTTCCGGGTCAGTGCACAGTCCCACCTGGGTCTCCAGTAAAGAGTGGGAGGAGGGGGCTGATGGGCATTTCTCTCACTCCCTCTGCCTTCCTCTCTTCCAAGAAATATAAATAAAAGTATTTAAAAACATGTTTTAAAAGAGCAAACTCTGGTTTGTGTATTCACAACTTTAAGTTTACTTTTGCCACACCTTGTTTATGAGTGACAGAGTAGATTATTTCATATGTGATGGTTTCACAGCTGTATTTCTATGTCAAGGCTCAACAATAGTACACATTAGGAAAGTGCACTTTCTTGGATGTCTGTTCTCATTTCCTGGGAGGAACAGCTTTGTCTCAGTGACAGCAAATATTGACAAGCAGTGAAGGTGATTGCCACCGTAATCAGCAGAAATGCTGACTGGCTACAAAAGTCACCTCCTGGGACTGATTACAGGATTATCCTTCCTCCAGCCTCGAGTTCTTACATATTGAGAAATGACCTTGTGGTGAACACCATATAGAGACGGGAATATACAAAACCATAACGTATTTTATCTGCCAATGACTTCAGCTACAAGAAAAGCTTTTGGAGGTTCTGA